TATGTATATTGTAGTATTTAGCTACCCGAAGTATGCACCAGAAGATGCAACTTTCGAATCTGTGTGAATTTACAGCCGCTAATATATTACATTTACAAAATATTTTCGGACCGGACATCTTCCTGGGAGATACTGATATTTTTGGAAAAAAATGTACTACTCATAACAAAAAATTACACTGAAATTCACATCGTAACATTGTTCAACCCTGAATCTGTTCTTTGTGTACATATGTTATGAATGGAGGGCTATTAAGTCTGATTTTCATATATTTTAGAACAATACATACAGTATGGCAACCTTTGACCTTCTTTTTTTTTTTTTTTTTACCCAGAAATTCATCATTTTAACTATATACCAGAAGCAATACACTACGACATCGTTACGTTTATGATTGGTCACCGTTTCCACCATCCTTTATTTACACAAAATGACGAATAGCACCCCAATATCTTATAATGAGTCTGCTTTTTGAACTGCGGACCGTCCTATTTATCGCGATTTTCACGGACGACTTCTTGATTTTGAACATATGTTTTATAAAAATTTATTCTTAAGGCTAGTGGATTTGACTTATTCTGACTCTTCTTAGAATTAATATTTGACGTTTATTTGAACTGGAACCTACTTGATCTTTGACACTGTTTGACATTTTCTGCATTGTCCAATTCTAGAAGCTTTATCTAAACCTAATCTTACAATCTATGCTTTTTGTTAATGGTTACATGTCTCTTTTATCTTCTGTTAGAATTCGTTTCGCCGAATGTTTGTGTCACGAACCCTGCGTATAAATTGAGCACGTTAGAATATCAGAGATTGACTTACCACGAGTCACATTGAAACTGCAGTAGAAGCTAAGAACGTCTTAATTTCCGCTATAAAATCTGCGACTGATTCTGTGGCTCCTTGAAAAACGACACATAAACCTATGCCGTTGGAACCACTACATTTGGCTTAGGACCACCAATGGCTTGAAAGTAATTCCACAAACTTTGTCATTCCCATACATGTAACAGTTCTTCGCGGGTGCCGCCAAGACTTAACCCAATTCATAATATCGCGGGTTCCTATGCAATTTAATAACACTTTTGCCACAAACGTGGTTTGATCACCAAAAACGTTATTCAACTGGAGAAAAAATTTTTCTAACCCTTTGCTTGTAATTTTCGACTTCTTCTCTGCAATCGAAACTGGTCCAAGTGACCCACAACATTAACATTATGAACGGGCGGTTGAAAAGTTTGACTTGACTGTAAACATTGGGCAGCGATTGCCATCATTTGTTGAATTGATTAGGATCCATAATTGAAAGAAATTTTGAGTTTACGGTACGTGCGTGAGTAATTGGACTTTATTTCGAAACACGGCACTTTTAACATCGTCAATTAAAACTTAATCCGTTCGTCGCCCCACTTTTATAATTTCTGCGATTGGTAAGAACACAAGAACATAACAAGGTTTTCTTTATTTAGAACTGAACTATGAACGAAACAAATTATACATGACGTGGCGATGCGTAAACTAGTCTTTTTCTTTTTTCTTCTCATCTTAGAGTGCCGTACTTTTAAAGATACAAACATCTCCATAAAATTTATAAAAGATTAGTCCTCTGTGATAACATTTCCTATAACAAACAAATTAGATTGTGTTTAAAGGCAGCTCCAATATCGCTGCGGAAGTGATTATTAATGAAGTTCGAGCTTGTATGTGAGAAATACCAATTAGCGGTTATCAATTAACGTATTTCAGGACGGTTATGAACTTAATATTTAATTAATTGTAAATAAATAAATCACATTATTAAATTTACGTTTCACAGTACAAAAAGGTGGGTTGTGTCACCTGTGGTTAATGGTTCTCAATGTGCGCCTCACCTTACTGTTTGTCAATGTACTGAATAGAACAAAATAAGTATGCAGGAAACCATACAATACATACAATGCAGCACTGTTCGTATGGTTTCCTAGATACTTATTCTGTTCCTCCGATTGCAGATGTAATACACCAATTTGGGTGTGTTATGACGTCATCACTTATGCCCCGTTTCACAAACATGATTAAGGTTAATTACTGATTAAAAATATTAGAATATTGATCATACGCTTAGATGTTTCCCATTTTATATAATATTTTTGATAATAATAATACCCCAAACGCAAGAATCTAAACAACTGCTTGTTTGAAATCATCAACATCGCTAACAGGTTTCATACATTACCTTGTTTTTTTACAGGTTTGCCCACTTTAGAAATTTGTATAATAGAAGGCACTGTTTGCAGGCTAATATTTAATGCACACAACTCTCTATGAAATAAAACTTGTTACATATGTATACAAATTATTTACTAAAATAACCATTCACCTTTCTTACTGCTGCGATGATAAAAGTGAACCACCATTATCTCGAGCTCGTTCAAAATGATGAATAAGTTGGTTACTTTTTCTTCGTAAACTTGATTGCACTCATCTGTGTTCTATCATAAATTATTTTATTTCCAAACTCCTGGATACTTGCTTGATCATTTAAGTTACCACACGGATGTGCATAATTTGTTTTTACGACATAGGGGTCTGTTAGACATTCCCATGCACAATACAAGTTATTTTGAAAAATCAGTTTTCGTATAATGTGGTAAAAATTTATAATGCTATTCCGCGGTCTCTCAAAATGCTCAGTCCATCATCATTCCAATCTAAAATGTGCCAGTTGCTAATATCAAATACATTGCCGTTATAGATTTTGTAGCATTTCTTCTTTTTTTTATTTTTTTTTAATTTAATGCGTGGTGAGTGTTCGTTCATTGGTGTTACTCATATATATGTGTTACTATTATATTATGCTTGACAGGGCTGCATGGAAGATCAGGGTATTGCTACACTGAATGCAGTCCTTTCCCACACTATTCTTATTTTTTTTCTTTATTTTATTTTTGTTTTCCTATTATTAGTTGTTTTTGTGGGAATAAACATTATTATTATTATGGTGAGTGTTTCTTGTAAGAACTCAGGTCTAGTCTGGTTAACTAATCACACGGATTAAAATCAAGTAACAATTAGTGTTTGTGTCTGTACGTCGCTCGTCTGGTGAAGTAATGTCGGGTCCTAAAAAAAAATTCACACACACACATTGGAAATCTAGGGATAGTATGCAATTCATACTTACCAACATAGCTATTGATGGGCACAATGGCCAACGCTATCAGGAAAGAGGAAAAAAAAATAATTATAATAATTCCTGCAAGTTTAGCAATATTATTAAATGGAGTTTATTGTGTAAGTGTACTTTCTTTGGCTTTGCGTTTGGGTTGAATACGAGTGGGTTGTGATAACGTGGTGTGTTTCTGTGAAGAAGGAGTTTTGTGTTTTTTAACTGTACTAGGACATGTAAATTTATTGTGTGAACCTGTTTTTGTAGTGCATGTTGCGTTACTTGTATTTATTACGTTTGTTTGTTCAGGATGTTGTGTTTGTGTGGTTGGTTGAGTTAAGGGTGGAGATATTACAGTATGTTGTGTGTCATTTTGTGAGTCAAAGGTGCTGTTTAGGTTTTTGCATTTGGGTTGAATAATCGTCGTGATAATGTGGTTTGCTTCAGAGGTGAATCTCTGATTGTAGTATATGTTGTATCATTTGTTGTACTTGTTTGTTCGATAAGTTGTATTTGTGTGTTTGTTTGGGTTAGAGGTGGAGATATTACAGTATGTTGTGTACCGTGTTGTGAGCGAGTACTGTTGTTTACATGTGTACGTTGTGGATCATTTGTGTATGTAGTATCTTGTGTTATGTTTAGAAATTTACGAACAATATGGCATGTGTTGATTCAATTCAATTCAATTCAATTTAATTCTTTTCCTTTGGCATACAACAGTACATAGGACGCGTCATACATAAAAAAACATTAAACTCCCGTGACACAACATATAGATAAGTTAAAATTATGTAGATGAGTATCACAGGTTCTTACATTAGACATTCACGTAACAACATAAAAAAGTTAAAATATCACAGACTTTTACAATCATCAACGTATTCGTTGATGGTGTAGTAACATCTTGTTGTTAAAAATTTTTTTGTTTTTCTGCTGAACTGTTTGGACGGGTAGAGCCTCTCCTTTCCTCTTGTGTTATGTCCATGGATAGATCCCTGTGTTGCGAAGGTTTGTTTATTTACATAAATGTAGTTGACTATTTTATGTAGGTAACATGACGTTGCTGTTAGGATGCCATACTTCTTGAACGTATCTCTGCATGATTGGGTACCACCCAAGTTGAATATAAGTCTGAGAATACGTTTTTGCACAATAAAAACACGATTAAATTCCGAGGACTGGCCCCAAACTATAACATTATAGGACAGCAGTGAATGTACAGTAGCGTGATAAACACTCAACAGTGATTTTTGAGTTAAAAAGTTCTTTAACGTCATAATACCAAAGAAACACTTGTTTAATTTTTTGGCGAGCTCATTTATATGTGAAGACCACTTTAGATCATTGTCCACGGATATACCGAGATATTTGACAGTATTGATTGTTGGTAATGTGTCATGGATAGCAGATCGAGGACGGAAGTTTATAATGGCAGTTTTGCTCTGGTTCACTATAAGCTTGTTTTGTGAGCACCATTGGCTAAATTGTTCTATGACTTGGTGTACTTGAACGTGTGCACATTTTGGCGACGAGTGGGACACTATAATTGCAGTATCGTCGGCATACATATACAATTCGCCCTCATGTATATGTTGCGGAAGATCGTTTACGTATAGGAGGTACACCAGAGGTCCCAGGACACCGCCTTGAGGTGTGCCTATGTTTATTGTGAATGGCTTGGACAGTTCCTCGCCGCATTTGACCATGTAGTTCCTGTTTTTCAAGTAGGATATGATATATGCCATGGCGTGTCCGCGTATTCCCATTTTCTCAATCTTATCTCCCAAGAATGTCGAAAAATATTCCATATACCGTCTTGCCGTTGTTAAGGTGGTCCATAATGTTTTGTATCATAGCCGTGGCTGCCGTCTCCGTCGAACGATTTTTCCGGAAACCGTGTTGACATTCTGTAATGAGGTGATGTTTGTTAAGAAAATCCAACAGTTGCTGCGCCAAAAGCTTCTCAAATATTTTTGAGAATATGGTCAACAGAGCAATCGGTCTGAAGTTTTCAATGTTCGTGAGGTTCCCTTTTTTTGGAACGGGTATGATCACAGCTAACTTGAGCGCGTCAGGGAAAGCACCCCTTTGTAACGAGTCATTGAAGGATTCCGCAAGATGATGGGCGAGCGTGTTTTTACATTGTTTGATGAATTTTGCGGGTACTTCATCATAACCTGTTGCCTTTTTTGTCTGTAGGACATCTATGATGCAGCATATATCTGAGGATGTAACAGGTTTCAGGTACATGCTCTCTGGAACATTGGCGGACGTGGAGCATGCTTGAGATGCACGTTGTCCGAAATGTTCTTCCAGTTTACGTGGAATTACGCGTTCAAAGAATTCTGCAAATGCATGACATAATTCATCATTTCGTGTAATAGATCTGCCTTCGTAAGTTACTGATTTAGACCCTTTCGCACTTCGGTTGAGTACGGAGTTCACCAGTAGCCATAATGTTTTGGGTTTATTGCTCGATCGTTCTATTTGGTTCGTATAGTGGATTACCTTTTCGTTTCGAATTTGTATGCGTGTATTCCTTCTTTCAGTTGTATAAAGCTGCTCCAGCCAGCTTTCTTGTGTAGTTTTTCTCAGGAAGTTTAACGTCTTAACTCTGTTCAGTTTTTTGTTTAATTCGGTACTGAATTTTAATTTTCGGGGTCGTGGAGTCTTGATGATAATGACTGCTTTTTGTAAACGTTTGTATGTGTTTTTGTCTAAAGCTAATAGTTGTAAATTGTGGTGTATTGTCTTTGGCATAACTCCAGTAGCACCAAGAATAATGGGAAACGATAACAGTAGATTTCATTCTCCATTGCGTCTTAAGCTCGATAGCTATATCGGTGTAATTGCGGTGTTTTTCTGCATGTGTTTTAGTTAAGTTAGTGTTGGGAATGGCAATGTCTATAATACAAATGGATTTTTGTGTTTTAGCTATAAGTGTAATGTCTGGCCTATTATTGTGGATAGTTTTGTCTGTGAGTAGTGTCCTGTCCCAATATAATTTGTGTGTGTTGTTTTCAAGTATTATCTGTGGCGTGTATTTGTAGTATGGTATTAGATTATGTTTAAGAGCTAATTATTATTATTATTATAGCATTTTTGGGTTATACAACTTTTGGTGCAGAATATTGCAGTGAGACTTACGGAAGTTATAATTCTAAAATTGTTCATTATGAAACTAATGGATTTTGTATCAGCTAATGTAGCAAAACGTGATAAAATAATGAAAACGGTAGCAAACTAAGGAAAATCCTGAACTACTGGCACTGAATTATTTCCAACCTAGGTCATAATTTTCCTAACCTAATAAGTAATAATTATAGGCATTCTGTAAAAATTGTTTGGTAGATGTTTTTCTTTGAAAGGAATTTAATAATGAAACAACACTACATTAATATTGTTTTTACAGAAAAAACGATTGAGCATAATGAGTTCGTCAGATGGAGACACACTTCGTGACTGCTCACAGTCCATTACATCTCTTCCATCAAGTCCATTGTCTTCTTCTTACTCCACCTCTACCCATTACCAGTTGTCATCTAGTATTGCAAGTATGTCAGTGAGCGGAAATGGGTTGCAAAGCGGACCGGAATCGCAATGCAGTAGCAAAAGTCATTCCCCGGCAGGATCAGTTACTAGCACTTTGACTCTGGCTGAAAGAACAGATAGTACGGGTACACCAAGCAAAGGTTTTGAATCTGTGGAATCCGAAATAGACATGAAAGGAAAGGTGCTTATTGAAATATACTGACATCTCGTAATAAGTTATTTGATTCTGTTTGTTGCAGAAAATGGAACCAACACCAACAGCCGATTTAGACCGAAGTAATGATAAAGTGTATGATTGCACTACACAAGTTGTAAGAGCAGTAATGACACTGTCACAAGGTGTGCAACAATCTCACGCCGAACAATATTTAGAATTGGTTAGGAATGTTGGCTTGGAATTACGGTCACTTCTTGCCAGTGTTGACGCGATCATGCCTATGTTTCCCTCTTCGGCACATCGAGAAGTCGAGATGGCACATAAAGTTCTGTCAAAAGATATGACGGAACTTGTAACATCCATGAAACTGGCACAACAGTATAGCAATACAACATTAGATACAGAGTACAGAAAGTAAGATAAGTTTACTGTAAATTAAATTTTTGTAATAACTTCTTTGCAGAGGAATGCTGGGAGCAGCTCACGTATTAGCTATGGATTCAAAGAATTTATTAGACGTCATTGATGCTATTCGTATTCGTTTTCCTCAAGTGGATCACGATTTTTGTGGTCAGTCTAATGAAGCGGTATCCAATAACGATATAGTTTATTCGTCAAACTTAAGCTTATTACCCCCTCCAGCACCTTGCACTTTCGTACAAAGTCCCACATACACTCAAAAAGTGCATGCTAGTTCTAGTACAAGTGGATCAAATGTTACCACTAGTCAAAATGCAGATAGTTAGTTTAATTATTTATAATATTTAGTGCAAATATCAAAATTTTGTACAATAGCTTGAAAAGTTACAAAGATGTGATGAAAATGATTGCAGCTGGAGATTGAAATCGTAGCAAAAGAAGTGGTCATCAGTATTTTATTATGAATTTAAAAGTTGTTTTTTAACATGTAAGGTTAAGTATAGCGATATCGATATTATACAATTTGATTACTTTTACAACTTTGATAATGTGTAAATAGTATTGAACCAAAGGTTAAAGCCACACATTTTATTTTAAAGACTGTTTTTATAGTTTTTATTGTCTTGTCTAAATATGAGCGTGTATAAACCGTTAATGAAAAGGTTTTTGAGTGTTGAAACAAAGTATTGTGTAGTTGGTCTCCAAATAACCATATCTGTATATTTTCGTTCTCCATACAAAATATCATGGCAGCCAGTTTTATTTAAGTTTTGTTATATGTTATAAGTATGTACATGACTGTACTGTGTGCATTTACTCTTTTATGCTTTTTATGAATAAAACAGTTTCCAATATACAGTATTGTGTTTTAAATGTTGATTTGTGCAAGGAACAAATATTTCGTAATCAAATTGCCTAATCTGAGAATCATTCAAATAATCAGGTAATCAATTGATTTCAAAAACAAAACGAGACCTGTTTTTTTCTGTAGATTTTGTATAGGATAAGGTTGCTACTGCCATTTTGCTTGTTATGGAAGCAGCAAGTTAGGTAAAATTGGTAAACTGTAACCGATCGCTGGAGTTGGTTTAAATTTTCCATATGTATATTGGGGCATACGGAAACGAAAAATAACGGAAGGGATTTTTTTTTTAATTTCGGAGCGCCACAACGGAATTCAACTTTTTTTTCAAATTAGCAACACAAAATTTTGATTAATTACCTATATTATATCTTTACCTGTGACATTAAAATAAAATCTAAAATCAATAGACAAACATGAGCAAAAATTAAAAAAACAAAAGAGGCAAGGGGCACGCGGTTTCCCCAAGCAGTCACCCATGCAAGTTCTGATCATGCCCAACGCGCCGCGCGTAAGTGCGCATTAGCCTTAAAGGGTACCATGTTTTAATGAGAGTGCGCACACTTGTCGGAAGAGCAGCGCAACGAAGCGGCCTTTTCCTGTTTCTTCGCATAAAGCGGAAATTATAAATGCATCTTCCTCATCAGAGGACACAATTGGTAAATGAAGATTAGGATAACAGATGACAAGTGTCAGTGACTTTATAGTTTATACTAAAGGTACGGTCTATCTATAGCGATTAGTCGAAACGATTAGACGACGTGTTTAAAGGCGTCGCTGTCGTGTGGTCTATCTTGGTTCAATTAGACACTGTGGTAACGAAATTAACGAGCTTTTCAAAGCGAGTTCATGATTTTCGACTTTCTTTTCGTCTGTCCGTCCGTCTGTGTGCATGGATAAGTCACGAACGATTTCGAATTTTCCAATTCTGTTTGCGGTATTATGTTTATCATCACCCGAGGAACAACTGATTAAATTTTTAGTGACCAAAAAATCGCAGCGACTATAAAAACGCTTGCGATTATTTTGCCCTGAAGTTTCGACTAGAGTGTCTAGTTTAGTCTAAAAATAAAATAAACAAAAGCAAAACAAAATAAAAAAAAATAAATAGCTAAAAAAAATAGAACAAAAATTAAATAAAAATAGAACAAAAATATAAATATAATGAAAATAAAATTTAAAAAAATAAAAATGAAATAAAATAAAATAAAAAGAAAATTAAAAATAAAAATACAAATAGAATAAAAATAAAAATACAATAAAAACAAAAATATATCAAAAATAAAAAGAATAAAATAAAATTTAAAAAAATAAAAATGAAATAAAATAAAAATACAAAAATAAAATAAAATCGCAATAAATGTAAAAGATTCACTAACGGTATAGATGATTAGGGGTATTACACCCCTTAATTAAACACAATAACTTGCAATGCGCGTTTATTGAACAGTAACAATGGCTGGATACATTGCTCTATTTCTCGACCGTCTTTCTTGGATGTCGCGTACGAAGTCCTCATATGTGGGCCGCGCTCCTTCGCGCACCCCTTGGTATAATAAAGCTGCCTTAGCAAGCCGTAATAAAACGTGATCTTTTCATGTTTCACGAAGTTCCGCTTACATAAATATGTATAGAATAAAAATAAATGAAAATAAAAATAATAAAATCAGTGCAATAAAAATAAAATAAATCTAGAATAAAAATAAAAATAGAACAAAAAAATTAACAAAATATAAATAAAATAAAAATAAAATTTAAAAAAATAGAAATGAAAAAAAATGCAATAAAAATAAAACAAAAAGAAAATGAAAATACAATAAAAATAAAATAAAATCACAATAAATATAGAATAAAAATAAATGAAAATAAAATAAAAATACATTAAAATATTTAAATAAAATAAAACAAAATTTAAAAAAAAAGAAATAAAAATGCAATAAAAATAAAATAAATCTAGAATGAAAATAAAAATAGAACAATAAAAAGAAAAAATTCAACAAAATAAAAATATAATAAAAATAGGACAAAAATAAAATATAAATAAAATAAAAATACAATAAAAAAAATAAAAAACAATAAATACAATAAATATAGAATAAAAAATAAAAATACAATAAAATTCAATAAACACATTAAATATAGAATAAGAATAAAAAATAATATAAAAAGAAAACAAAAACACTATAAAAATAAAATAAAAATACAATAAAAACAAAATTTAAAAAAATTAAAATAATAGAATAAAAATAAAACTTAAAAAAAAATAAAAAATTAAAAAATGAACAAAATAAATAAAATAAAATAAAAACAAAATTTAAAACTATAAAAATGAAATAAAAATAAAATAAAAGTAAAAAAAACAGACAAAAATAAAATAAATAAAAATGAAATAAAAAGAAAATTAAAATAAAATAAAAATACAAATAGAATAAAAATAAACATACAATAAAAACAAAAATTGATCAAAAGTAAAATAAGAATAAAATAAAAATCGAAATAAAAATAGAACAAAAAAATGAACAAAATAAAAATAAACGTAAAATAAACACAAAACAAAAATAAAATAAATAAAAATGAAATAAAAAGAAAATTAAAATAAAATTACAAATAAAATAAAACTATTTTAAAAATGAAATATAAATAAAATAATACAATTTAAAAAATATAAATGAAATAAAAGTAAAATAAAAATACATTAAAAACAAAAATAGATCAAAAATAAAATAAGAATAAAATAAAAATAAAATAAAAACAAAATAATATAAAAATTGAATAAAAATAGAACAAAAATAAAATATAAATAAAATAAAAAAATGAACAAAATAAAAATAAAGTTTAAAACATTAAATATGGACTAAAAATGCAATAAAAAAAATAGAACAAAAAAAATAAAATAAGACAAAATAATAAAAACAGAATAAAGAGAGAACAAAAATAAAATAACAATAAAATAAAAAATTAAAACAAAATAAAAATAAATAAAAATAAAATAAAATAAAAATACAATAAAAACACAATAAAGAGAAAAAAATAATATAAAAAGAAAATAAAAAATACAATAAAAATTTAATAAAAAGACAATAAATATAGAATAAACATAAAATAAAAAAACAATAAAAATAAATTTTTATTTTTTTATCAATTTTTTTTTTAAATAAAAAAACAATGAAACATTAAATATAGAATATAAATAAAAAATAATATGAAAAGGAAATAAAAAGAAAATAAATAAAAATAAAATAAAAAAATTGTTCCCAACTAGGGCAATGAGCAACATAGATCGACGTTACTGATCTATTGGCCGAGGGTCCTGGTCAGAGGACCGAGGCGGGATGTGTATCCTAAATAATACACGCGCGCGCCGCGTAACCCTTTCCCAAATAGGTATGAGCTCCATCTTAACCCTTCAGGAAGCCAACGACGCATTCAACCCCAATCGCCAACCGGAGAGCTTAGCGCCAGCTTGGGGCTAACGCCCCCTCCCCCCCCCCTCCGTGATTTACTTAGTTAATTGGCGAGTATTGCGGTTAAGCAGTCGCGATATTTGTTTACATGACCATTGAGCGCGGAAGACGACCAGTCAGACGGAATGCTGCCATGCCACCCCTTATGCATAGATTACAGAAGGACGTTTCTAATGAAAGGTGAGTTTACAGTAAATTTGTCGCATCTCAATAATGAGTTCTGATCAACAATTAGCTACTTTCCTTATTGTTGTATAAAATAGGTACCCCCTCATTACATTTGTTTTTGCTAGAAGTTTTAAATGACAGTTGGCAATATGACGTAAGGCTGTGAGTAAGAAATAAAGATAGAGATGCCTTGATACTTATCATTTCGTCGTGTTTGTCAACATTGAAGGAAGCAAACTTGTCCCACTCCGTTCCCATCCCTAACTTTACCTATTCTTACATTCCCGTTCTCTGGCTGAAGAGGCTCTAGCAAGCCTGATCGCGCTTCGCCTTAACTTCGATCTTCCTATCCAGCCTACCTGTAGCCAGTACCAGCCGTGATCCTGATCAGCAGCGCCGCCGCTTGAAGAACTCCGCCGTTCGATATTCAGCGCGCATAGAAGAATTGTATATACGGTAAATAAATTTATCTACTACTCGACCGTATTTTATTTAGCGCCGTCCACTATATTGGATACTCAGATGCGATATTTTGAAAAAAATAATTCGTTTTGTGTCAATGTTGAACAAAAAGACTTTTCGTTCAACAATTGTAGACCGACACAAGGTGTGCTGTGACCGGCAATCATTCCTGGCGAGAGCTGTATATAAAAACGTTTCAAATAAAAGTTGCAAGATTCGATGGATAAATTCAATGGAAGTAGGAAATTTTTTTTCAGAATGGCGGTTTTCGAGATATTGACATCCTTCTTCTCTAAGTTGACATCAACTTCCTTATTTTTAATGGACGCCATATTGGATTTTTACGTCACAATCCAGTGATACCAAACACTTTCTCTTCATTTATTGGAATCAACCTTGCATTCTTGTCTCGAAGTTTATAATGTATTTCTTATGGCAATAATTCCATGGCTGATTATGACTGAAACCAAATTCGTTCGTTTATTGTCTCGTTCGCATAGTCACCATCGACAGGCAGGGTTGGGCAGTATTTGAAATATTTGTAATTGAAATACAGTATTTAAAATACATATGTATTTTCAATACTGTATTTTAATTACACGATGTAAATGTATTTTGTATTTTAAATACACAAAAAAGTAAATCTTTCATAACTATCGCCGATAGAGCGTTTTACACTAGATCTGATTTTACCGTCTAAAGGTAGAAGTTATTCAACTTTTTGTAAAGTACGGTATGCGTGTAAACAGGGCCTTACTTCACTTGTCATTCGCCTACAAGAGGCAATTTATCAGACACATTGTTTGAAAAGTTAGTTTATCTCAAGGGTAATATGTAATAATAATATAGTAATATGTGTATACCAGTATAAGTAAGATGTAAATGATAGGTATAATAAAATATTTAAGATTAAGTGTTTTTTAATGTATTTCAAATACAATTGTATTTTGTATTTCAAATACATGAGCAAAAAGTATTTTTTCTACAACTGTCAAAAAAACCTGTCATTTTCTGACGAATTTCGAAGCGCGAAGTACTAGATTTTTAAACGGTTAATTAATAAGTAAGGTTGCCCTTGACAACGTGCGCGAAATCGTCAACAGTGAAAAAAAGTATTTCGCGCACGTGACAAAGTTGAACTTAAACAGCAAATTTAATTAACAATCGGTTCAGTTGTAGAAAAAATATTGTATATAACGCTAGCGCGAAGTTATTTCGCGCATTTGACTGATATTTTAACTCGGCTTCGCCTCGTCAAAATACCTTCAGTCTCAATGCGCGAAATTGAACTTCGCGCTCTTGTTATATAAATAACTATTGTATATCAAATACAATTCGAAAAGTATTTTGTATTTCAAATACACAAGTGATTGTATTTTGCCCAACCCTGTCGACAGGGCTATGGAATTATTGCCAATTAAAGGTTGTGTTCAAAATGCAATACTAATGGCCGTTGGCGTCGACAAATTTAAGCGGAGCTTAGCTTAAAATTCATGGCAACGATTATTGAGACAATAGTTGCCATGGATTTTAAGCTACGCTTAAGCTAAGCTCCTGTTAAATTTGTCGGTGCAAACGGGTATAAGTGTTTATTATCGCTGATTTTGTCATTTTTTCTCTATCGAGTGACGTAAAAATCAAATGTGGCGTCTATTTAAAATAAGGAAGTTGATGTTATAATCTTGAAAACCGCCATTTTGAAAAAAATTCTCTACGTCCATTGAATTTATCCCATTGAATCTTGCAACTTTTATTTGAAATTTGTTTCGATAGCTCTTTGTTACTAAAATATTTGAACTTTCTAAAAATGACGATTTTCACTTTTTCCAATTATCTACGAAACGATTTATTTTAGCATTAGATTCAAGCAGAAAAGAAGACTAGTGGTGTCGCATCAAGTGATGATTGTACCATACTCGACTGCAATCGGTAGATCCGGGAAAAGTCGCGGATACTGTACTTACTTAACAGTGCGCAAGGGTTTTGTTAATTCGAATCTAAATTTATCGCACATCGCCCGTGATATATAGTATTGCAAGCGTGTTAAGACGCTTATTATTCAGAAAGTTTACGTTTGCGACATGAGCGAGTAACAGAAAAATTGAATTTCAGATACATTGTCAAAACCCATCTTATTCCAAATCTACAGGTCCACCTGCCATTTAGTTTGGTTAAAGATGTTTCAGGAAGGAGCAATCTACCGTGGACAACTGATAGGTTGACCCAGGAATTCATACACGCCTATCAATAAAAGGGGTGTGGCGGGCGCCTATACATACTATGGGCAAGTGCACCTAGGACCTGTCGACTTTCACGGTTAGCTAACTGACTGTTAGAACCCTTTCACAATGGCGATTTTAAGTCGCGCGAGCAACGCACTTCATTATATTACACGTCTTTCTTTATTCAATTTAATTGCGATTCAGCAGCGCGATACTAAAAATCCCCAAATGTAAAAAAAACCTTAGAATCAAAAGGTGCACCTGTGTGTACCTACCTTTAGACAACCTACCCCATGGTAATCTAAAAGATTAATTGAAAGGAAAGAAAAAATAAACTATTACAATATAATGAAAGAGTTACACTTCAATTATATTTAAAGATATTCGTCCTTTACGACATTCAGTTCATTATTTGAGGCATCATCGGCCACAAGTTCATTTCTATGCCTTGTTCTCATATGTTTTGTACGACTGCTACTGTCGTAAAACCCTTTGTGACATACTTTACAGACATAGGGCGTTTCACCAGTATGACGCCTAACATGTACCGTTAAATTTCCATTCAATGCAAACGCTTTTCCACAATACTGGCAAACATATTTTTTCTCTCCCGTGTGTGTGAGCATATGGTACATTAATTGATGTGGATGAAGAAATGCTCGATAACATACTTGACATATATGTTTCTTTATTCCACTGTGAGTTTTTTTATGTTGATACAGCGTTCCAAATGTTCTGAACGTCTTTCCACAATCTGCACAAGAAAACGGTTTTGAAGCTGAAAGAAGCATATTTATACAATTAATGTTTGATTAGTTTATTTAATTCATCATACCACAATATTTCTGCATGTGAGCTCTCAATCTGAGCTTTGTAGAAAACGATTTCTCGCAATTCTTGCACTTATATGGGTGGTTGATATGTATCAATAGATGTTGTTCCAAGTCGTTTTTGGTATCGAAAATATCCAAACAAAATTTACAGTGGAATGGCTTCTCTTCAGTATCATCAGTCTCATATGATTGCACTTCGTGGATAAAGGCGTGAACTTCATAACTGTAACTTTCTTCAAAAGTTGCATCACATAACTTACACTTATAAGTTACAGAATTATGGACCTTATAATGTCGCGTTAGAGATTGTGACTTGCTAAAAACTATTCGTCAATTAGTGCAATGTGTCGCTTTATTGCAAAACAGTTATACCTGTATTACATTGGTCACATGGAAACTTTTCATTTGATTCAATAGGAGTAGTAGCTTCTCTGTGATACTTGGATTTATGGTTTCTGTATGAACTGGAATTAAGGGTCACTCCACAAATTTCACACACATAGGTGGAGGTTTGATTGTGGCCCTCCATGTGCGTCTGCCGTGAGCTATTTTGGGTAAATCCTGAAAAACATGCAGTATTAATTAGAGGGTATCAACTAGTGCTGGGCGATACATGAAATTGTTATCGATTTACCGATAAGTCTGTTTAGTCCGATAATTATCGATAAATCGATAACTATCGATAACTTTTGATAATTATCGATAAGTTTTGATAAGTATCAATAACTTTTGATAATTATCGCTAACTTTTGATAATAATAATCGTTAATTGTCGATAATAATAGATTATTATTGACATCTGTCGAAAATTGTCGATCTCCGATTGTTATTTATTAATCGAATAGCGATAATTATCGAGAGAAAACTATGGATACTTTTTCATAAATCCTATCGATATAAATATATTCTCCATGCGTACACTCGTTAACAATTTTAACCAAATTTTAGTTATTTGGTATTGATATTGATAATTTAATTAAATCGATGTAAGATTAATCAGTAGATTATCGATTTACCGACCAATCCTTTAAAATCACAAATAATCGATACATTTTTCAATAATTTACAATTAGTCGACCATTTTTTAAAAAATTAATCTACTATCTATTAATCGATAATTATCGATAAGTTATCGATTAATCGGTAGGAGATTAATTTTTTAAAAAATGGTCGATAATTATCGATTAATCGTTTTTTTTGAAAGCACTACTTTTAATTGACTAATTTATCGATTAATCGATAATTTTTTTAGATTTATCGGTCGTCGATTAATCGATAATTATCGATGTTATCGATTAATCGTTTTTTTGCACAGCACTAGTCTCAAATCAAACGTGCGGGTATTTGTTATGGGAGAGTTGTGCACTCAATCTGATTTAAAGGCCAGAAACCATAACAGATACACAATCAGTTAAATTAAAAAATAGTTGCGTATTTTAGGGCTTAGTAAAAGGATGTCAAATTTAAATTTAATAACCAGCCTTTTTTTTGACTTAAATAATAACAATTTTTAACATTTTGGCCTCGATTTTGGCGTAGTAGGCGTTGAGAAAATGTCAAAATAATGCATTGCTTTTAAATGATATATCTTCGGAAATGATCGTAATTTCTAAATTTTTAAAACATAATTTTATTAAGCACTAAAATACGGAACATTTTTTTAATTGAACCCTGTGTATCCTTATGGTTTCCGATTTTTCCATGCTGTTCATTCTTATCTTCAACAGCGAGAAGGATAGTCCATAAAACAACAAATTCGAAATGTGACATTTCAAACCCAAAAAACAAAACCCAGTATTCATTACAACATTTCATAAAATTGAATTTGATTCGTTGAAAAGTTTTCTTGCCACTACTGGCTACAGTGTCAATTACATCTGCTATAGATGATAATCTTATGAAAAAAAGGTAACATACAGTGTGTCCACGGATTGAGTGGATATAGGCTGATTGAAATTCGAGGGTCACCATGGGGATCTCAAAAACCGTAAGAGATAGGTAGGTACTTTAAATTTGGCAGTTGCGTATTTTGATGCTTAACAAAATTCCGTTTTGAAAGTGAAAAAATTCCGACTACTTTCAGAGATATCCAGAAAAAACGAAATTTTACAAAATCGTTATTTACCTGCTGATAAAGAGCAGCCATTCAGCGATACAAACTTACTACGAGTAAAGCGAGGCCCTTGAGGCATTTGTCAATTAATTGTGTACAAAGCTCTGCGGCTTGGGAGGTTTTTTTTTGTTTGCAGGTTTTTGGATGCGAGAATTCCTTCTATGTTTTACTTATACAGAGTGAGCAACAAAGATTGAAGCGTGCCGCTTCAGCTAAATTGGCAATGTGCCGCTCATAGCATATGCTGATTTGATACAAGATACGAAATACGAATAGACGCACGTCACTGTGACAGCGCAGAACGTCATTTTCGTATACAACTCCATACAAAGAAGGTAGTTTTGATATTAATAGGAACAAGCGGTGATGACGCACGCTTCAATCATTGTTGCTCACACTGTACTTGGCCCTGTACGTGCGAATTTTTGCCCAGATTTTCAATTTATTTGTGGAAACTTGTTTTAAGATTCAGTAATCAATTTAATAGATCATTCTTGATTAGGGGCTGCAAATGTCATTTTTAACATAAAAATTAAAATATGTCAAAAAAGACTTAGGTAGTATACGGAGTATATAATTTTTTTTTTTTTTTTTTTTTTTATTGCCTTTATTTTATAGTGGGCGGAGTGTTAGCAATTTGCTACTCTTCCCACTCAACCCACTATACAATCACAAACAGCCATGCCTTACCTGGGATTCGAACCCTGGACCCTTATAGCCAAAGTAATTAAAGGTATACATTATACATGAAATGAATATAGAATTGTACGTGGATGCTAAAAATGGAATAATATGCATACAGGGTGTTCCATTTAAAATAAGCAAGTTGCCAACTTGCTTATTATTGCCGCCAACATAAAAACATAACCTACTCTTAGGTCTAGCCATTGAATTTATAACTATCAGAAGCGCGGATCCCATATAACAGTTTGTGACCATGTGCCAACTGGCCGCCGCTAGGAGCAGTTCGATCGTTTGAAAGTCCGTGGGCGATCGAAAGTGGAGCGTTACATTGACATTAGATGGCAGCATTACAAACCATTTATTTTGACCATTCGAATATTTTCCTTTTTAATCGTCAGATGTCAGGAACTCCGGATGTTTTTTGTGTTATCATTGGAATGGTTTTATAAATAGGATTGGAATGTTCTAAAAATAGATCCCTTAAGAAGCATTGCGTAAATTTGTAATGTAAATAATAATACATTTAGACGAACGAAGCTTGCAGTCCTTGTCCTTGAAGGAATGCAATTTCATACATTCTATTCACAGGCAGTAAAATAGGCAGGTTCCACATTTTTACTGAAAGCGGGAGATTTTGTTATTAAAAAACGATCAAAAAAAATTTTAAGGCAAAATATTGTCCGTTGCAAGCAGGCAGCTACATCATTTCCACATTCACATTTGATAACTAAATTTCGCGAATCAGCTTTTTTATAACCATGCAGCATTGTGCACAAATAAATCGGTCCCAGTTTACGTGAATTCGTATACCTACTAGAGCTGAGCGATAAATGAAATTGTTATCGATTTATCGATAAGTCTGTTCAGTCTGATAATTATCGATTAATCATTAATTGATAACTATCGATAATTATCGATAACTTTAATCACTTATCGTTAACTTTCGATAATAATCGACAATTATCGATAAATCGTAAGGCTAATTTTCGATAATGATCGATAACGTTTGATAATTATCGATAACTTTTTATAATTATCGATAACTTTTGAAAATAATTAATAATGATTGTTAGCTGCTGATAATAATCGATTATTATTGCCACGAAAATTGTCTATATTTATCGATTAATAAATAAGTAGCGGAAATTATCAAGAGAAAACTATCGATACTTTTTCATAAATCTCATCGATATATATTCTCAATCGATATATTACATCATCCATGCGTACACTCGCTAACATTTTTGTTTTTTTGGTATTGATATTGCGAGAGATAATTTAAATAAAACAGGATCTTTTGATGCTCAAGTTGTCTGAAATCAAAGGTGATCAAGTGGACGATAATCCTCAAAAATGAGTACAGCAGTAGGTTGTGAATTGTGATCATATGGCAACTCAACAATGCTCTTACATCGCTTTTGTTGGAAGTAAACTGGTATACCTAAACATTGAAAAGTTTATGTCGTTAAAAATTCTCTCGATAATTATCTATCTTAATAGTTTAGTTGTGAGATTAATCGATAGATTATCGGTAATTATAGGTTTATCGACCAATCCTTTAACATTTTCGATAAATTACACCGGTCTACAGCATTTTTGCGCATGGGACATATATACCTTATTTTTATTGCTTCTATAGCCACAAATAAGAATTAGAACAAAAAATGGTTATGTATTTGTTTTTGTGTGAAAAAAATGCAAAAAACCAAAAAATAAAAATACCTATAGAATCCTACTTACATAGGCATGATTTATTAAATGGTAACGTTTCTACATTTATAATTTGTTTATCTTAGAGTCTAAATGTTTAAAAATGGAACAGTTTTGCTGTTTTTGTCATGTTCAACTGAATCTGATCTTCCATCATGCTTCCAACTTCCTGGCCTTGGGAAGGTGCCTAAGTTCCATTGTCTCGAGAAAGTGTTGTCCTTATTCCAAATAAGCTCCCATATTATCCTTAAATTGATCTAAATGAGAATGTAACCTGTGCATCTTTATTCTTTAGAGACATTCTATACCCCATGATACAAAACCAAATCCTGTCAGCTCGTCATAATTTTCAGCTCTATGGTTTCCCAGGAAACACTGAACGGGAAACCATGGACTATTGCCTTAAAACTGTTCCAGGATTTTTTTTCCTCTTTGCTAAGTAACCGCGGAAAAATATCACCCTCCATTTTTCTTTTTTTTTAAGGGAAAACAAAGATTCCAGCTTTAATTTTCGCCCCTGAAAGCTTTCAATCAAATCGCTGTAACTTTTGTAAAAGCAAATATTTTCGATGTCTTAATCGCACTTTTTATTTATTTTTGCTTATTATAGTCAGAATATATATTGTGTAAATCCCATGCGCAAAAAAATTCTTTTTTTGTTGACCGGTCGACCATTTTTTTAAAATTTATCCATTGACTATCTATTAATCGATAATTATCGATAAGTTATCGATTAACCATAGAGAACAAATTTCAAACGTCAGAATTTAAAAGAAAAGAGGTTAACGACCTTTTTATTTTGTATCAAAATTGCCAGGTGTGACGTGTGATCCTAGATCAGGGGTCGGCAACCTGCGGCTCTTTTGATACCTATAAAGTTGCGGCTCTCCGTATTTATCTAAAGAAATTAGTTCAATTGTTCGAAATTCGCCTTTTTAATTAATCTTATTTTGTATCAAAAGTATACTTGCAGCAAATAATTATCTAATTTTTGACACTTGTTTACTTTCTGGTATTCTTTTGTTTTTTTTATTATAGCCAGCCTACTCCGATGTATAAACACGTAATTAATTAATGAGTAGGTACTTTTGTGAAAAATATTGAATAACCTAAACACTGCGGAGTTTAAGCACAGGGCACCCCTTATAAACATTTAAGAGAAGACAAAAGCGAATAGCGAAATAACATAGTGGTAGTTCCATTTGAAAAAGAATAGTTATAGCACTTTGAACAAACGGCATTGAAACAACCAAATATTCAGGATGTTCTATTTAAAAAGATCAGTTATTAATTGACATCGTAAAAATGGAACACCCTGTACATTCGAAAATAATTTCTGTAGATCCGCAACCACCAATATTTTTACCAGGTATCTATCAGGTATGTAGGAAAAACCGATGGACTGTTGCAGGACCCTGTATATAGCCAAAAACTATAATATTGAATCAAAAATTATTTGTGGCTCTTTAAGAACTGGGAAATTTTGTAAATTGTAATTTTTGGCTCTTCCGTTTCAATAGGTTGCCGACCCCTGTCCTAGGTAGTTTAACCGGTGGCAACGGTTTAACCGACACACACAAAAATTAAGAATAGATAGGTAGGTACATTTAATTTCTGTTACAGTGATCAAGGATGCCTGCGTATTTTTTGCTTTCCTGTTCAAATGTAATTCAATCTTCCTTAAGGAATGTTAAGTAAGGTCACGATTCATGAAAGGAAGAATGTTTATCTTACGTCATTCAACATCCTGTGTGCCACATAAATGCCTTATAAGTACGTTTCTTGGGTATCTAGAATTCTGTATACAACAATTACAAATCGAGATAGTGGGTTCATTACAGATTCCTGTATAATAATTAACAAAGGTAAAAAACTGACATTATTATTCATCTTTCTCGATGGTAGAGACATCTACGTCTTGTAATTTAAACTATTGAAAACAGTCACATATCCTGCCATTTAACCTGCGCTTCTGATAGTTATAAATTCAATGGTCTAGCTCTAGGGTTCCTTTTTGAGGTAGGTGTAGATAGTCGGCATTTGTAATGGACACCCTGTATTTAGAATTAGTTTCAGAAATTAAAAAAAAAATTCCACCTGCAATTCTGACTACACCCTTTATGTGTTTTAGCACTTTTTTTATGTACAGGGTGGCCAAATAAGAATGCCAGGTACTGTATCTGAGAACCTGTCCATCGTAGAGGCTTGCGGTTAAAAATATTTATTACTAAAACGGCCACGAGAAAAACCTGGAAAATATTTTTAAGTTTCTGCAATGGCCGCTAGGGGGCGTAACTGCAATCTGGAATCTAAGTGATTTTTCTGTGAATTCCGCTATATTAACCTACCAAACAAACAAAAAAAGTCCGGTCTTTGAAGTTGACAGTAATCTGAACCTTTTTTGTTTAACAATTTTTCCTGTATCTCTAAAAATGAAGTGGTGGGGGGTATTCAAAAGTTTCCGTAAAGAACACCCTGTATCTTCGAAACGACTGAGCCGATTTAAACAAACTCGGGTTAGTTAAAAAAAACTATTCTTCAGCTACAAATATTATAACATTTGAAGTTTTGTTAGTTTCACATATCGGCGCTTGAGCTAATGACGAGTGTAAATTTATCAACATGTCTGCACAACAATATATATTATTATTATTAACACCTTTTTTTGATATGACCAATAGTAATGGCTCCAGCATCAATGTTCCTTACTTTTTGTTCACCCCGTATGTTATGGTTAAGGAAAACAGAAATACGAATTAGCTTGCAAACAAAACATTGGGAAAAATATTTGTTTCACTTTGTTAATTTATACATACCTTTCCCACACACCTCACAAATATATGGCTTTTCCCCTGTGTGACTAACAAGATGTCTCTTCAAATTGGCCAATGCAATAAATCGTGCCGGGCATTGCTCACATAAGAAAGGTCTTTCGTTTGTGTGAGATCTCATGTGCAACACTAACTTGTCGCTAAAAAACCTTTTGCCACAAATTGTACAGGGATGCTTCTTCATAAAGTGTGTACGGACATGAGTGTAAAACACAGAATAACGTGAGCCATAATTCCGATCACACAATTTACACTGATATGGAGGGCCACCAGCTCTAACCCACCATTTCTCCATCGAATCAGACAATGGGCGAATTGAATATTTTTTTGTTTTCGATTCAGTAGGAGGTTTCTTGCCCGTTTTGGATGAACAATCTGCAGGTATGCTTTCATTTGTACTTTCCAACTCAGTGCCTTTCTCAGTGGTAACTTCAATTGATGATTTAGTATAATTGTGTTCATTCATAAGTGCTTTGTTTTCTGGAGATGAGGAGACAATTTTTCCCTTTTTTTTCCGTGTATAAGTACGTTTCACGTTCATTTTTAGCTGAGAACTAGACAGAACAGTCGAAGCTGATGTGCTTTTATTTTCTTTATTCATTTTCTTTTTACGACACCTACTTTTTTTTGAGGTTCTGTTGAGTAATTCCCGCAAAATAGATAATAATGGTTTAGTTTTATCTTTTACCATTGGATACAAAGGCGGTGATTTTTGGAAATTTGCAGTAGTTTCTTTCTTCGGTGGAGTGATTTCCGTTGTAGCAGCGACAGGTGAAATTTTACATTTAATTTCATTTCCATTTACTTCTGTTTCACTTGGAATAGTATTCAAGTCTTCTGTGAGAACTGGGAGAAATGGTTTTACTACTAGTTTATCAGAGGGTATGTGTTGTGAGTTACTACTACTAGCTATATCGCGTTTTAAAATAGCACGCTTGAAAGTATGTGCGTCTTGCGTCTTTATGGCACATTCCGGACAAATATAACTTGATAACTTTACATCTGCAGATAACTGGAATGAGAGGTACGAGCATTTAAAATAATTAATAATGTGATAAGTGCTTACTTTAACACCAAAACAATCATCAATTGCATCAGATATCGACATTGATTCAAAGTATTCATTGTTATCATATAAACAAATTAGGTTCTTTTCTTGGCGTAAACAAATTCGGCAAGATTCATTAACGTTTTTCTCGATTGCCTCTCCAGGTATTATGTTGAATTGGGAAAGAAGCGTTTTATTTGCCTCATTAAGTGGTAATATCAAATACGTCACTTGCATTTTGTCTAAATATTAAACAAATTTATAAAACAAGTGAATTTTCGCTCTTTTCTCTCTAACCAACAAATCACTTTGCAAAAACATCAAGAAGAGACGACGCGGAAACGGATCGTGGCAGACGGTAGGTGAGAGAGAAACTAACTCGCAGATAATTCGTAGCGTGACTCACTCAGCACCACGCCAACTAGCGGATATTTTGAAGCGTGACTTTTTATGTTTTGTCTGTAACCAATCCTTAGATCAAACATGTTTGTCAATATATATGATCTAAGCACTAATCAGATTACTTAAGTTACTTTTTTTAATAGCATTTTTCAAAGCCAAGGCAAAGAGTCGCGTTACAAATTATCTGCAAGTCACCGCGCAACCGCTAGAATTTGACTTTGCTGCATAAACAGCATATCTCTTTATGATAAACAGACATAAATAAAATAAAATATTTTTTTCCTTTAAATAGTGAACGTTTAAAGGTATGCAAAATATTTTTTATTAACACACTGGGTGTATCGGAAAAAACTATAAGGACATCTGTAGCAAAAGTTACTGAAACTGGAGTAATAGAAAAAGAAAAGAGAGGAGGAAGAAAAGATAGCATGATCGATAGGGATATACGGTCTATTCAGTGTATCTTCCGTTGCACGTCATTACCTGAAGAAAACGACGTACCAACGTAAACTTACTTTCGTTTATTAGGCAACACATTAAGCATGTAGTTTATTTTAGCCGCAACAATTGGTAGCATTTCGCTATGTTGTCGCGTTTAAATTTGTAAATTTGATAGGTTGCTTTTGGTTTACTTTTCGTTTGATTTGATTTTGATTATTTTCTACGTCTTTCGCTGTGCATTGGTTTGAAGAGAAATTACTGAAGAATTTAGATAACCCGCCAGTAATTGTGTTCGATAACGGGAAAACAGACAACATTAAAGTGTGGTCAGGTGATCATAATGTGCAGTTCTCCGAAAATGATTTTACAGCCGAACTGTTGAAAAGGTTGCACAGTAAGTACGTTCGCAAATTATTTGATGTATCTTGTTGATACTTTTAGGAATAAATCAGCTAAAATGTACCGCATAAGGCATTGACCACTTAGCCGAGCAATACGGTTACTTAGTTTTACGATTACCACCCTAGCATCGCGTTTTTAATCCTATCGAACATATTTGGGGCATAGCGAAAAATTACTACAATCGACACATGGGTAGAGATGGACGAAGCATTGAAAATTGCATAAACATGTGACAAGAAACACTACAACGATAACTTCCGAAACGTGGCGCAATTCAGTTAAGGATACGGAAACTGTAATACACGAGTGGTACGAAAGAGAAAAGCAATTAGATCTTGAAAACGTTGCTACTATTATTATAAACTTTGAACACGAAAGCAGTTCCGATGATTCCGATTAATTTGAATATCATCCATCACATCATCACATAACCTGTAAAATTTTATATTTAGTACTTTCTCTGTAAAAGAGATGCTACATTTGTACAGTTCATAAGTTATTAAAGTATATTGTATGTATATTGTGGTTCCAATTAACGAAATGAATAATAAAAACACTGAAAGAAATGGTCTAGTTATACACTTTAACTAAAATGAAAATAATAATAGCTATTAAACATCATAATAATGGTAATAAACATTTAGTTATAGCTATTCGTCAGCAATCATTGTGATTACTAATTACGTTTTATTATTATGGTTTTATTGTGTCAGTTATTCATTGTGAGTATGACAGTCGATAACGTTAACAATACTTATAATATAGTTTTGTTACAAATCATATCACTATCACAATTAAGCTGATTAATAAACAAGTTATAAAAATAGTTATTACAAATTGTACTTCGAATAACCATCGTTAAAAAATTTCATTAACTATTCGTATCGGCAACATCCGCAATAATTCGACGACTGCCGTAAGAAAGTGCCTTCATACCTACATGCTACAAGATAAGAAAAAGAACGCGTCAACGCGACTTTGCATTGTGCACAAATTTTGGTCCTGTTATTTATATAGCATTGCATTGGAATCTGTTAGTCAATATTCAGAACGATTGTCTGTATTATGTTATGTTATCAAAAATCTCTAAACCTTCCCCATATAGTATACTATATGGGGAAGGTTTAGAGATTTTTGATAACATAATATATTTCAACCCCCATTTCGAGGAACGATGGATCCAACTCAAAAAAAAAAAAAAAAAAAAAAAACGATTGATTGTCATGTTATGATTGATGATATGTTTTGTAGATGAGGGAATTACAGACGAAAGCTTTCCTTTGCTAGACGAAGAAACCATAAGGGTTCTTTTTCCGAAAAGCGGCCCACGACTGATCTTTAAAAAATTTTATACGCAAGAAGTATTAGGTTCATGCTCTACTCCATCGTCACTGGTAAATAAATAAATAAGTGCAATACAGTACAGTGATTCAATGAAAGTTGTTGCAATATACTTACTTAAAGTATGTGATGGGGCAGTTAGAGTAGGGTTCTTAGGCCTACGATGGTTAGGGATGATCAGATATGTCCCAAAATTTATATACCAGCTTTACATGTAAAATTTTAACTCCCTATGACTACGTATAGAGTAGTTGTAAGTATAGGGGTGGGCGGTTGAATAATAGTATATTAAGAAACAAGTTTCATAAGTGGCGCGTTTAACGCACGAGTTCAAGTTTAGAAAACGAGCCGCTCGCGGCGAGTTTTCTAATGAACGAGTGCGATGGGGCGTCTTATGAAACAAGTTTCTTATACTATTTTTTCTATTGAGAAGAAATTTTCGAGAAATTTTTATCAAAATGATGTTATAGTAACTTTTTGTAACTAGGGAATTTTGATATAGAAGTTGTATTAGTGCAGGTTGTATTAAGTTGGCAGTACCACGTCCCAAATATTTCACTTATTTAAATACACTCTCATCAATTTTGTTTTAATTAATAAACTTCAGAAATTAGTACATTAACTGTGGAACAATTCATAAAGGCAAAATGCAGTCCTTCGTCCTTTTACATAAGTTATGTGAAATTCAGTCGTGTCACTGTCGATTAACGACAAAGCTAACAGCTAACAGATTTCGCCCGTATGACACTGCTTCTACTTATATTGGTGACTGACATAAAAAGAAAAACAAAGGTTTCTTTTTGCGATTTGCCATTAACGGTCACTAACGGATCGGTCCTTAGTGGGTTGTTGTTACGTGATAGGTGTCACTCATTACGACGGGTTCGGCTTCGGATCGTCACTTCCTCTTAGGAGCATAACGATACTACACAAATCAGGCTCACGATATGAATAACGCAGAACAAGTGCTAAAAGCAATAAGCTGCTCCTTTAAAATATTGTTTAATGTGTTCCGAAGGTATCCTCGTTGTCATCCATTCCCCATTCGAAATCTCCTTTATAACCTGTAGGTCGTTTTTGGAAGATAGGTACACTATTCGTACTAGTAATCATTGGTCACAGATTGCACGTAGATGTTGAACGTGCTACAAAAAGAGGCATTAATCATTAATGTACAAATTTACCTCAAAGCCCCACATTTTTGATATCTCGGTTCTTACGCTACATACCGTAATATTTAATTCCCTTTTGAGTTTTGGAAGGAGAAAGTAATTAAGTGGTTTTTTCATATTGTTCTTGTAATTTGATTAACACTATCAGCCTTACATGTCTCGCTTTTAATCAAATAGAAAGGGAATCTTGTCTTTCTGTATATCAAAACATAACCCTAATTTGTAAATAAATACAATCGAATGTCAAATAGGGTAGTGAATTTAGGTTTTCCTCTTTAATACCAACTTAAAAACGGTGCGTTAATAGGTCTCATTAACGCACTGTTTTGAGCGGAAAACAGTGCGTTAATAAGAACATTTAAAAATCGAAATAGACAAAAATTTTTTTCTATTTCGCGTTGTTTATAGCTCCATTACCGCACGCAATCGCGTATCGTTCTAGCCATTAACGCACCGCATAGATTTTGTTTTCAACTGTTGGTAACATTGCAAATGCTAATAAGTCGATGGTATTTATTCAATGTGTACATAACATAACCAAACTTTTCTAACTAAAATTGCACAACGAAAGCTTTAATCATAATAAAGTAAATACAACAAACTTAGATTTCGTCCTTATCTGCGTAAGTAAATGTACAATTATTGTACACTTTGACGGTAACAGCTCCATCATGTGTATTGACTTTGATACCAGGTAAATTGTGGGTTATGATGTTGTGTTCGGCACTATTTATATTTCCTTCAACTATAGCACTGGGAACGGCACTTTCTACATGTGTTGATGTACATCCTTGTGCAAGAATCCCATGTAATGATGAGGATGATTTACTTGCTTGGGCAAGAGTTCCTGCAACTTCCACTTTTCGTTGAACCTACGTTTCAATATATCCTTCGGCAACCGCGGAGGACTTCCACCCGCCATGTCGTTTAATGGTGACCAAGTCACTACCGCTGTTAGCTAAATGTGAGACACTTGAACGCCGGAAACAGTGCCCAGTGTATTGTGCCGGATTGGCTAATTGTAGAAACTCTGCAATCTTTCGTGGCGTCTTGCCCATTGTATTGATTCCGATCGAAGTAGTAATGCAGCGACCACTACGGTATGTTACAAAGAATCGTTGATGGCAAGTATTAACTGGGCGTATGCTGCTATATTTTTTTATAATATCAATCCACAATTTCTCGGTGATGACAAACTGTCTCATTACATTTGTTTTTGTTTTAGGCACCGATACAACAACAATATCATTTTTATATTGGATGTCGCCCAGTGCCATATTAGTCAGCTCCTCGCGTCTGCATGCCCCACTGTAGCCCATTATTAAAATAACCTACAACGAGAATACAAACAAGATACTCCTGTAGCTAGTACCTACCCACTAGAACAAAAAATTCTACTTACTTTTGTATCTAAATAATGCTTGTCGTCAGCCTCGTGAATAAATCGATTAATTTGCTCTAAATCTAAAATTTTTGATTTTTTTGGCTCATAGCCTTGCGAAAATCTTTTTAGCAGTGCTTGTAACTTGACGTATCTTGATATATCTACATTTTTATGCACATTTAGGTAGGATCGTAGCATCGAGTACATTGACCATAATGACGATGGCTTTTTCAAATGAGTTTGTAATTCAAAATATGCTAATAAAACATTCTCCGAAATGTGTTGGGCTTTATTTTCTTTACACCACTGGTCAAATTTAAGGTATTCCTTTTCATATTTTAGTTTCGATTTCTGCGGAAGCAAATTATCTACGGTACTGTTTGCTATTTCCCGCAATTCAGGTGGCGTGCAAGTTATGATTTCGTGCTGCTCTTCCATTTCTATTTCACAAAAATTGCAGTACCAAATGGCAATTCGCTATATCTGCGCAAAAATTGAAACTTCAAAATTTTCAATTTGAAAAAGCGAACCAGTGCTACCAACTTAACATTTACAACTAATGTGAAGTAGTACAGAATTTTGAACTATTTTTAGTTTTTTACAATAGAAATCACGCGAAATAGAAAAAGTAGTATAAATAACTCGTTTCATAAGCCGTTTGATCGCACTTGTCCTTTGGAAAACTCGCCGCTACGCGGCTCGTTTTCCAAACTGGACACGTGCGATAAAACAGCTACTTATGAAACTTGTTCTTTAATATACTATTAAAGTATAGAAAAAAGAGCGACGTCAAAATGTTGCACATGTGTACAACATGACATAAAAATTATGACGTCGCTCTTTTTTTATAATTTTTTTTTCAACCCATTCTATATAACTATCCTTATACGTAGTCGTACGTAATCATCAAGAGTTCTACTTTGGCCGTTAGTATGAAGTAACCCTTATTTTTTTTAGATAAACTCGATGTTGAAAACAAACGCCTAAGTATAACTTCTTTGGTTATTAAGTTACCAGAAATGTGTTTACCTATTACAAGTTTCTTTGTAGTGATTGTTGCATAATCTACCATTTTCAAAATAAATGTGCAGGGTCCGGTAAAAAAGTTGTCTGACCTAACCTCATCTTTTAAATGGAACACCCCGTATATTTTAATGTAAAAATGTGGCATATTTTCATTAAAAAATCAGAAAATTTAATATTAACTCAAAAAGACTCATTTTAAAAGATTTGTTATATACCTTTGTATTTTTTTTAAGCATTAGAACCCTTTTTCTTTTTGAATCTTTTTGATTTTTCGTAATCACTTGAATATTTTTTTAAATATTCCTGGTGTGCAATATTTTTGAAAAGAGAATTCAATTATATGGTGTCTGTTTTGATTAAAATATAGTGTTCCATTTAAAAAAATTAGGCTAGGCCCGATAACGTTTTACTTGACCGGTATACTTATTTTAAACACGGCAGATTATGTAACAATCAAAATCATAACTAATAACCTTTGCAATAAACACATTGCCGCTTAATAAGCAAAGAAATTATAGGTCATATCACTTATAGTCTGAGTTACCCCACACTTACGTCTAAACTTGGCCACCCTGTACATGTGGTTCACAAGTTAACGACTTTTAATTTGAATCACTACTGCTACGAAATGTTTAATGTATAACTTAATGTAATTGTTGTAGAGCCAAACAGAAACTATCTCCGTTTTTTCTAACAGCTCAAATGATGTGATTGAGTTTGATCCAGATCCTGAACTGTGTTCATTTCTTAACATTGGAAATTCATCTCAAAATATGAATCTCGACGTGGGCCTACCACCGAGCCTTCCACCTTCAAGAGAAATGCATAGTATTATTTCAGAAAATAGCAATCCTATTCCAAAAAAAAAAGTGAAACAAGGAAGCTTGTTTTCAGATGTTTGTATCTTTTATTTAGTGAGGTGATTAATCCATTTAACTTTCTTTTAGGGATTAGAGAATTTGTTAATGCAACATACAGATGGTCAGTTGGCATTAAAAAATAGGAAAAAACTGAGCAATGATTGTAGACAGAAAATATGCAAACTCATCGTTAGCTATTTATTATCAAATAGGACTGAGTAAGAATATAGGTATTGTATAATGAACCTACATATAATTTCTATTTGTTTTAGTATAAAGGCAGACACTTTCACAAGAGCTGCTGAAGAAATAGTGGAGCTGTTCCCTACTGAAAAAAAAGAGACTTATTTTATTCCATATTCATCTGGGAAGGAAGGTTTACGGAAGCAATCGGCCAGAGGAAAACTGTGGTCTCGGTATATCTATGTTAAAGCTAGTTTCCGAGTGGCAAATACTAGTAAAGCTGTTGATGATCACAATATTAATGTGGAGGATAACAAACTCCCAGAAACAGATGAGAAATTAGAGTTTTTAAAAGTATCGATAGAACCATATACTAAAGTCCTTCAATACTGGGAATCGACGTTCCACACACGAACTAGAATCTATGCCAATAAAACTCTACAAGAAATATTTGATGATTTTCCAGCATTAAGTTTGCAGACTGGACTTGATTTGGTAATATTAGTTTTTTTATTTTTAACAAAATATAGGTACCTAAATTATGTTTTAGTTGGAGTCTGATTTTAATCAAGCAAATGAAGACAAAATAGATATTATATATCAGGAATGGCCCAAAGTTGCACGGGCTATTTTAAAGGAGGCACTTGATAGAAAAATTAAACTGGTCAACTTAGATGATTTCGGTAGTGTAGTAAAACTCTTACAAAAATGATGTTGTAATAATTACCTTTTTTTAGATAATAACACTAAAGCTTTGCTAGTACTTCCTCTTCTGTTTTCTGTGGTTACATTAAGGAAAGGTACCAAACAAAATACAAATTGTTGGAGGCCAACTAGGTCAGAAACACAAGAGAGCTTTTTTATTAATGTGAACGTGAGTAGCTGTATTACATAAAGTACCTAAATTTAGGTCTGTTTTTTCTAGGCATTTAGTGATATAGATCAACTAATTGAAACTAGAGAAAAAAAATTACTGGCATATGGATTTCCAATGCAACCATTTGGAGCGGTAGTTGGAATAGAAGAAAAACAATTCTGTATTGTCCTGTATGGTAAAAAATTTGTTGTCAATTCATCTATAAGAGTCCTAGAATTATTATACAAAGTTATACACGCACTAAATCTAGAGTATCCCATAGAATGCAAACACATCTGGTTATTCATCCAAGAAATTGTGTTTAAAACTGTCACTACTAGTAAGCACAGTAGTACTGCTTGTGTTATTGCCGACATATCGAATCAAATAGAACAAGAAGCAAAACAATAAAATTTTCTACTATGCCTACTTGTGGAGTATGCCATATCTCTTACAGTAACATAAAAGACTTAATGACTCATCTAAAACATGTACATAATTTAGGCGAGAATAGTAAATATAATTGCAATGAATTAAACTGCTACAGGAATTTCCCTTCACTAAATTCATACAGAAAACACTTAAAATCACACAAAAATGTGCATGTAGTTGTTCAAACATCAAATACTTGTGGTAACACATCTGGATCTCATGAAGAATTAGTGAATGACAATTTTGAGGATGATTTAGATATATTGAACACAGAGTGTGGTTCTAAAACACATGATTTGAATACAACTTTTTTCGACGATTTTAAAAATAATCTATCTCAAAACGTACTAATATTTATACATGCCTTTTATGCGGATAGCAGCTTAAGTAGAAAAGATGTTCAGATTATCATAGATGCCATCCATGACTTAATATCCGAACCACTAGACATATTTAAAAACTATTTGGAAGTGTTAGTGTCTAAATATAACATGGATAGGTCCCACAGAGATAATCTAAATAAATTTATTGATCAAATTCAAAATATGTTTACAGGTTTGCACACAGAGTATCTGAGATTTAAATATTTAGAAAAATCAAATCACTACATCAATCCTGTTGAATGTATTCTGGGGCAACGTTTAGATAAAATGGAAAATGGGCTAGCATCGCCTTAAACTTATACTTACCAGTTTATTCCTTTAAGGCTAGTATTTAAAAACTTTCTTGAAATGCCTAATGTTTTACCTGAAATTTTATACTTCATAGAAAACAAACAAAGTGTCGAAAACATATCTAACATTATTCAAACTAGTTTTTGGAAAGATAAATTGAAAAGTTTCAAAAATAATGATATTGTATTACCGTTTTTCCTATACTACGATGACTATGAAAGTGGAAATCCCTTAAGCTCCCATGCAGGTATTCATAAACTGGGTGCAGTATATAGTTCAATTCCTTGCATGCCCGTTAGATTTCAGTCATCCCTAGAAAACATATTTTTAACATTATTGTTTCATACCATGGACCTTAAGGAATTTGGCAGCAGTGCCATTTTCAATAAATTAGTTGAGGAATGCAATTATCTACAAAAGAGTGGTATAGAAGTTGTAAGCTCGGGTAAAAAAATTAAAGTGTATTTTGTACTTACTTTATTACTTGGAGATAATCTAGGTTTGAACAAACTGCTGGGATTTACAGAAAGTTTTCGGTCCAATCATTACTGCAGGTTTTGTAAGTGTGCAAGAGTAGATATGGAGCACCAAGTAAATGAGGATCAGACAATGTTGAGGAATAGAACTAATTATGCAGCAGACATCCAGTTAAATAATTTAAAAGTAACAGGAATAAAAGAACTTTGTGTGTGGAATAAGGTGCAGTTATTTCATGTCTGTGAAAATTATTCTGTTGATATTGCACACGACATATTCGAAGGGATTGCTCTTTTTGATATGACCGAATTATTATACCAATTTATTTTTATAGACAAAATTTTTACTGTAGATCATCTGAATTCACGAATTAAATATTTTAATTTTGGCAACTCGAATATAAATAAACCACCTCTCCTTAGCTTAGAAAATTTAGAGAAAAAGAAGATTAACATGTCATGTGCTGAGATGAAAGCATTCGTACAATATGTGGGAATCATGTTAGAGGATGTTATCCCAGTAGGAAACCGATATTGGAAACTGTACACATTACTTCGTAAAATTTTAAAAATTGTTCTGTCAGACAGTATTAATATGAATCCTTCCATATGCAATTTACTTTCAAATATAATTTCTAAACATCATACATTGTATAAAGATTTATTTTCTCTGCCATTAAAACCTAAGCACCACAATCTCACCCATTATCCAGGCATAATTTCAAAGATTGGTCCTTTAATTTATTTGTCTTCGTTGAAATATGAATCCAAACATAAGCAATCTAAGACATCCGCAAACGTTGTCACTTGTAGGCGAAATATAACTCGTACATTAGCAATAAAGCACCAGCTAAATCTTTCAAAAAAATTTTTCTCTAAAACAAGTCTTTCTGATGCATTAGTAGACAAAAATAAAGTTCCCTTTGATCCATTTCAGAGTATTGCTCATTTTAAAACAATTCTATCTTCTTCAAAAATCTCTTTTGATGTGTTCCAAGAGTATCCTTTGTTTTCCGCTAAAAAGGTTACATATAACAATAAAGTATACAGAATAAAAGATGTTATTCCTATAGACATAGATTTTTATGTATTTGGAATAATAACTCACATATTAGTCAATAAAAGCGATGAAATTTGTTTTGTATATAAGGAACTTGAAACTTATTTGTTCGATCTTCATTCTTTCAGTTGCGTGATCAAAGAAACTAACATAATGAAATGTATTTTTGACACAGCGGTTCCCTATGTAGCACATCTATGTATCAACACGACAAAGTCAAATGAAAAGCTTATAACGTTCTTTTAAGGTCTACTGTTTTAAGAGGTAATGGCATTCCTAAACAGTGGTTTAATTACGTACTATTTGTTTTAGATGTTTTTCACGTAGTCTTTTTTCGTTATTAGTTAACTTATGACATTTGATTTATTACTTTTGAGAAGGTAAGTATATATTTGTTTTGTTTATTAATTTTGTTATGTCATTTATGTTATATTTTATGTTTATAATATCAATATTTAGGTTACGTTTTTATATCTTTGACGTCATTTTGAGGTCTACTTTTGTAAGAGATAATGGCATATCTAAACGGCGGCTTAGTTATGTACTGTTTGTATATTAGATGTTTTTCGTGTAGTCTTTTTTTTGTTAGTTAATTGACGTTTGATTTATTATTTTTTGAATATATTTGAATTATTCTGTTTTTATATCTTTCTTTATTTTATAATATAATACTACTCTGAAATATGATTTTTTTTCACTCTAACCTCTCCCCCCCCCCCATGCAGGGGTCTCCGATTCTTATTAAACGTTTGTATAAAGGCAGTTAATTAAAGTAGCCAAAGACAATAAAGAAAATTGTTACTATAGCAACGCATTTCATTAAAGTTAGTTCATTTTAGTTATTGTAACTAAAGTTGCTTAATTATAACAAACAAAGTGTTGTTACACAAAAGCAGGATGGCTAAAATTTAATAACAATATTTAATTATTATTACTAAACTATATAATTAACATTATAAATTGGTTTAACAGAGGTCGCTATGCTGCTCCAATAATTCTATTTAATAGTGTTTAGTAACTGTAATGAAGGAACATTCTAAGTTATCAACTAACTGTACCAGTTAACCTTCCATTAAGAAAATGAGTTTAATAACTATAATCAGGCAGATAAACTGTCCTAAAGTAGTATTAGAAATTCTTATTGCCGTTACTAAATATTTAACTGTGGTCGCTAAACATTTTTTTCAGTGAATTATTTTTATTTTATTTAAGGTGTGGATTGTTCACACAAAGAATGCACTGTCTTGTTGACAAGTGACATAACCTAAATCGCTCAAAACTAGATTTGGCATTATTGCATAGTAATTACGTCACAAAAAATGATGACGTGCAACGGAAGTTATACGGAATAAAGTGTAGCTATACGAAATAGTATTACTCAGCATATCAATAGGTTTCCCAAAGTAGAATCTCATTATTGCCGCAAAGATTCTGCCAAAGAGTATCTGCATCCAGATCTGACTCTTGCCAAAATGTACCAGATGTATACCACTTCATGCCCTACAGAATTGTGTGGTAGTTTTGCAACATATCGCAGGGTATTTAAAACATTAAATTTATCCATACATTATCCTAAAAAAGCCCAATGCGGTCTTTGTATAACGTATAGGACAGGAAATGAGGAAACCAAGGAAAAACTAAAACTAAAATACGATACTCATATTGCAGAAAAAATTAAAGTATGAGAAATCAAAACACAATGTAAAATCGCGGCAACAAATAATTCCGAAAATAATTTGTGTGCGGTGTTTGATTTACAGCAGGTAATTTATTTACCTATATGCAATGAAGGTGCAATTTTTTTATAAAAATCGGCTCTCGGTTTACAACTTGACCGTTTATAATATAGCGTCAAAGGATTGCTCTTGTTACACTTGGCATGAGGGTATCAGCAGACGAGGAGCTTCAAAAATTGCAACCGCCCTTTATTATTTTTTGAAAAACGTGGACTCCCAAAATATACAAACTGTTAGTTTGTTTTCAGACGGCTGTAGTGGACAGAATAAAAATTCAGTAGTAGCCTCAATGATGTTGTATATAGTTAGCATTAGTGTCAACATAAAAGTTCTCAGTTTGCGTTTTTTTGAAGCATATCATGGACAAAGTGAAGGTGATTCTGCCCACAGCGCCATAAGTATAGGTACCTACTGCAATTTCGCACACTGGGGAGATATTTCTACCGTCACAACTCACAGCTGATTCCGGTCATGAACTTGCGAGAAGGAAACAACCCTATGAAGTACGTCAGCTAACCTACACAGATTTTTTGGACTTTAAATCTTTTTCTAAGGATCTAAGAATTTTGAATTCCAGGAAGGATGATACTGGAACGAGTATTAACTGGACTACTATTAGAGAACTCAAAGTTGAGAAAGCAGACACAACTAGGATTTATTTTAAAAATAGTCACTTGGACAAGGACTATAAATCGTTACCTCTTTGTATCGTGCGTTCATAACCTTCACAAGGCGTTGTTGTTTTTTGGCAGTTATTTTGGTTTTTATTTTACGTTTTATAAAACATGGAACAGGTGCAAGTTTTAGACGATACGACAGAATTGCGTAACATTGATGGACAAATATCTTTACCATAAAACTAGTAAAGTACTTAAGTAATGTTATGTAAACAATACCATATCATTTTAGCGGACAGCTATGAACAGGTAGTGTTTCAAGAGCAGGAGCGAGCACCTGACAACCAAGACTTACCCGATACACAAGAAGCGGATAAATCAGCTGGTATGTATATACTAACAGCACCATGTCTTTTTTACAAATTTATGTAGATAAAACTAAAAAAA